ATAATTGAGTTAATTACTCTGATTAAAGAGATAAGTTATAAAAAAGCTTCTAACTTTATTTAAAGCAGATAATCCTGTTTTTATCTCATATATTTATTTATATAGTTTAAAAAACATTACATTTTCACTGTAAAATTATACTAATACTCGTATTATAAATATTCAAGAGTAAACCCTTCCTAGGTATCTTCAATACCTTGCTCTAAATATATAAGCTACTTGAATAAATATTTATAATAATAATTATAATTAAAGAAAAAAATAGAATTTTTTTAAAATAATTTAAAGAACTTAATTGAATAATATTAAAATTCTCAATTAAAATTATAAAAAGTCCCTTTCTTCCATAATACTCAAGTCACCCTTGATCAAAATTTTTATAATAAAATTTACCTATAAAAAGAAATTTTTGATTCATCAAGTATAAGGTTATAATAGGAAGATTTCATATATTTCCTATAAACATTGATAATTTATAATTTTGAAAAATTTTAGAAATATAAAAATAAGATACACTATTAAATTCATATCCTAAAAGAGCCCCTAATAAAATTACAATTAATGTTAATAATTTTATAAAAATAGGTAATAAAATAAAATAAGGAGTAATATGTATGATTCATCTTATTAATCTCCCTATAAAAATAACAAAAAAAACTAAACCTGTTATACCCTTCATTATTAAAGAATTACTTTTTTCTTCAACTTGATTTAGACTTACTAAATTATTAACCCCAAAAAAAATATAGTATGAAAGACGTAAAGAATAAGATACTGTTATTCCAATAGATAGATAAAATAAAGTATATAAAATAATATTATTAATTTGTAATGAAAAAATTTCAACAATTAAATCCTTTGAGTAAAACCCAGATATAAAAGGRATACCACACAAAGCAAAATTACTAATATTTATACAAGTACAAGTAAAAGGTATTCTTAAAGTRAAACCTCTTATATAACGAATATCTTGACAATTACCTATATTATGAATAATTATMCCAGCACATATAAAAAGTAATGCTTTAAATAAAGCATGTATAATTAAATGAAAAAAAGCTAAATCCCTACCACCTAAACATARAATAACAATTATTATACCTAATTGTCTTAAAGTAGATAATGCAATAATTTTTTTTAAATCAAATTCAAAATTAGCACAAACCCCAGCCATAAATATAGTTATTAAAGAAATATATAATAAAATAAATAAGAAATTTCTAGAAATCCCTATTTCAATTCGAATTAATAAGTAGACTCCTGCAGTTACTAAAGTAGAAGAATGTACTAACGATGAAACAGGAGTAGGAGCTGCTATAGCAGCAGGAAGTCATGAAGAAAAAGGAATTTGAGCTCTTTTAGTTAAAGCTGCTAAAATTATAAAAAAATATAATATAAGTATAAAAGCATCATTATTAAATAAATCCAAATAAAATAAAAATCTTCAATTACCAAAATTAGAGGCTAAAGCAATTCTTATTAGTAAAGCAGCATCCCCAATACGATTTGATAAAGCTGTCAATATTCCCGCATTAAAAGATTTTACATTTTGATAATAAATTACTAAAATATAAGAAACTAAACCCAATAAATCCCAACCCAATAAAATAGTTACTAAATTTAGACTTATAATTATTAGTATTATAGAAAAAATAAATAAAACTACTAGTGAATTAAATCGTTTTAAATTTAAATCTCCTTCTATATAATTCTCAGTATATTTAAAAATTATTGAAGAAATAAAAAGAACAAATCCTATAAAAATAAAAGTAATTCAATCAATATAAGCAACATAGGATACTATTAAAGAATTTAAATTTACCAAATATAGCTCCAAATAAATAGAATAATCAAAATACAGTAAAATTATACCTATATAAATTAAAAATAAAGAAAAAAATAAAAATCTTCAATAATTAATTTTACATCTAATTGTTTAAAATGAAATCATATCTTTAATCCCACAAATTAATATTTTATAAACTAAACTATTTAAACAAACTCAAATATAAATTTCTGATTTTAAAAATATTAAATTTAAAGGAATTCAATGTAGAATAAGTAAAAANNNNTCACGAGAATTAACACATCTAAAAGAAAATAAACCAGAATACAACTGTCCATGTTGGGTATATCTATATAAAAATAAAGAATAAACTGCTCTATAAAAAACTAAAAAAAATAAAATTAATATTAAAATTAAATTATAAGAAACTAAAGAATTAATTAATAAAATTTCACCTAACAAATTTAAAGAAGGAGGAGCAGCTATACTAGAAGAACATAATAAAAATCATAATAAAGATAAATTAGGTAAAATATTAATAAATCCTTTATTTAAAAATAAACTACGACTATGAGTACGTTCATATAATAAATTTGCTAAACAAAATAAACCTGAAGATCTTAAACCATGAGCTAATATTAAAATTAAAGCCCCTCAAGCTCCTCAAGATCTCATAGTTAAAATACCTCTTAAAACTAATCCTATATGAGAAACAGAAGAATAAGCAATTAATATTTTTATATCACTTTGACGTAAACATATTAAAGAAATAAATACACCTCCTATTAAAGAAATAATAATAATAAGTAAATTTATATAATTATCAACTAATATAGATAATTTCATAACTCGAAATAAACCATAACCCCCTAATTTTAGTATAACCCCGGCCAAAACTATTGAACCTGAAATAGGAGCTTCTACATGAGCCTTTGGTAATCATAAATGAGTTAAAAATATTGGAATTTTAACAAAAAAAATTATATTTAAACATAA